TTGACCCTTCGATCCAAGTTCTCTTTCTATATAATAATTAAGTTGTGACACATTTTGTCACAAATTTGAATTTCTTTCCATTTACATTCATTTCAAGTCATTTTCTTTCAATTCATCAAATTCCTTTTGAATTCATTTTTCCAATGATAGATAAAGATAAAAATTGTATTTGATTGTTTTTCGTTATAGTGTTTACTGTCGTAAACATTTTATTGTCGTGTCCTGAAAGACTGACGTCCAACGTAATTCAAAGCACCAAGAAGAATCTTAAAAAATTGTTCATGTAGACCTCAACAAAAACTCCTCTTCTAATCATCTTACTATACTTGATTACATGTTTTGTTCAAATTTTACTTTTCTAATTTTATTTCAGTATTTTCTGTTACGTTACTACTATATAATATTACAACTTTACAACAATATTTGATTACATTATTATTGTTACAATATTATATCATTTATTATTGCTACGGTATTTTATTGTTATCGTTAGATTATCATTATTACAACTTCGTATCATATATTTATTTCATAATAGATGATCAATTTTATATTATACACGTGTATTGAAAAAGTTTAATAGTAAATAATTGGAAATACTTGAAAATGATCGATCGAATCGATTAAGTTTTCTTATAATTAGTGTAATGATTTAAAATGGGCCAAAAATCTTAGACCCAGTAATAAAAAGATCATCTAAAAATTAATTTCACATCAATAATGATATCGATAATTTAAAAAAAAAAAGTATTCAAAATCAAAATATCATACATATAATTGAATTAAAGGATGAATTAAGACCATGGGATCTGAAAGTTTAAAATTATCATAAAATTTAGATTTTTTTATCTATGTATTTTTTATTAAAAATATATTTCGTCCCCTAAAATTATATAAATTTAAGTTTGCCCCTGTAAGTTTAAATTCGCCCTTAATATAAAATCTTGCGTTTGTTACTGAATAAATTCATAATTAATTTAGATATTCATCTATGAATATATTATAAATCTGAAAACCCTTGTAAAAGAAGTCAAACAATTTGCTTAATGCAACTAAGATACAATTACTTTGAAGTTCTTCGTGGACTGGTACATAATTCTCTAAAATAATCCAACATCCCCCTCAGTCCCATTCAATTTGAACAATTTGTAAATATTATAACATGAAAATCGATATATATATATTTATATGTATCAGATGTCACAACTTATTATAATTAAATTTAAAAATTATAGTTTATATCTAGTTGCTTTCTGAGTAAGTATAAAATGACATCTTTGAACTTATTTTCTTTGAATAATCTGGTTCACTACAAACTTCGTCAACATTTCTTTCCCTTTAATTTACAATCGGGATTCTCAAAATTACTTTAAGCTTAGAATAAAATAGAAATAGGGTTGTATTTTTCCTTTGTAGATTTCCAGTTATGAATCTTTTTGGAATCATCTTCTTCATCTTGCTCTTATCGTCTCTTCGGCCATCAACAAGCTCTGAAATCTGCAGTGTTTCATGTGGGATTCAATCGATTCGTTTCCCTTTCCGTCTCGATGACCAGCTTGATCGTTGTGGCTATCCTCGGTTCAACCTCTCATGCAAAAACCAATCCCAGACCGTCCTTTCGCTTCCATTTTCGGGTGATTTCGACGTCGTAAACATCGACTATATGTTCCAAAACATATGGATCAACGACCCCGATAATTGTGTCCCGAAACGTCTTCTTCAGGGGCTTAACCTATCACTAACTCCTTTTTCTTTGCTGTATCCTCAAAGCTTCACGTTTTTCAAATGCCCCACTGATGCATCGATGGAGCTACCTGAAGCAAAGTATATCCCTTGTCTTAGCGGCGGAAATTTCTCTGTAGTGGCTATTCCGGTAGGCCGAGTTGATTTGTCGACGTTGTGTTCGGAGATGGAAACGGTTCTGGTTCCAGTTTCCTGGACGAGTTGGTTGAGTCCTGGGAATGGTATTATGTTGACATGGAACGAACCAAATTGCATGCTTTGTGAAAGGCGAGCAGGGAATTGCATGTTCAAGAGTGATTCGGCCTTGGATGTTGGATGCTCCGATGGTTTTAGCAACGGTATGTTTTGCAACTGTCTAACTTAAGCTTAATTTACGATGAGTTTTAATTTAAAATATTATCATGTTCATTAAAAAGTTATATAATTGGTGAATATTTTAGTTACAATCGATAATATTACGACGAGTTTTAACTTAAAATATTACTAGTCTATTTTAAAAATTATACAAATGATAACAATTTAGGTTATAACTAAAACAACTTTTGACAATAAAACTTTAGATTGTAATGGAAATAGTTATGTAATTTATATAAATTATTATAAAAAAATATAATATTTTTATTTAACTTAAAATATTATCCAGTTTACTGCATAAACTTATAACTTTGATTGAAAAACATGCTCCATATATGTCATTATAGTCCAATTCTTACTCTATTAAAGCGGTGAAAACACAAACCAGTAGTTGGAATATTTACTCTACTAAACTTGCTAAATTAGAAATAACAATTTTGAAAAAAGAGTAATTAGTTGAACAAAGCAAATTTCAAATTGCAATTGAGTTCTGAATCTATTGGTGATGCATCGCTTTCAAGCATCGGCTGCGGTTGAATATCATAGACTTATGGCAGTCAACAGTTCTCAGCATGTTTCATATTTTCTCTTTAAAAAAAAAGTAAGATTAAGGCACATATTTAATACCTAAACTATTAATTTTATTCCGTTTTAGTATCTAAATTTTATTTATATTTAAAAGCATATTTAATGTCTAGTTTATGTTTTAGTACCTATAATTAAAAACTTAATATTGATATTGATGTGTCATCATAAAATAATATTAAATCATCATTGAGAAAATTAAAAAATGTCACGTCAGTCATTATGTTAATTAAAATGGAATAGAATTGATAGTTTATGTAATAAACATATAGTTTACCCAAAAAGTTAAATGAGAAGATGAATTTTTCATGATTTGTTCTTCTTTCATTTTAGGTCTCTCAAGACGTACTAAATACGGCATAATGTTTGGTGTGGGAATACCAGTGTTGTTCGTCCTCGGCTTGGTAATTTACCTCCGCCGCAAGGCTGACAATTACGACCATCATCACAACCGGATGGAAGCGTTGTCCGATTCTATTGCCCTGAGACTAGATGCCGTAGCCAAAGGTCTGGACGAAAAGACTATCGAGGCGTATCCGGTAACATTGCTCGGTGAAAGCCGGCGGTTACCGAGGCTAAATCATAACACTTGCTCAATATGTCTGGATGAATACCAAGCTAAAGAGAAGTTAAGGACTATTCCGGATTGCAAGCATTATTTTCATGCCGATTGTATCGATGAGTGGTTGAAATTGAATGCTGCATGCCCCTTATGTCGTAATACCCCATAATCATTGGCTCTGTGTTTCATTATCTTCGTCATAATAGATGGTTTAATTAACTTATTTGCTTTGGGGTGCAATTTGTCCCTAGTAATCGTTTTTAAGTTAATTGCATCACGTATTTTAAAATTATTACTTTTATTTTAAATTAGTATTTAAAATTTTAAATATTCTAATTTCATCCTTAAACTATAATTATCATTTTAAATTAGTCCTCAAACTTTTGAACATTTCATTTTCATCCTCAAACTATAACCTTCATTCCAATTTGGTTCCCAAACTTTTTCAGCATTTCAATTTTATCCAAACTATATGTATATACTAATCACATCCTTTGTTAACAAAATCATTAGACCAAATTATATTATTATATGTTTGAAAAAAAATTAACATTTAGGTTAAACTATGTTTGAAACTAATTACATATTTGGATAGCTTTGGGGGAAATGGAAAGATTCAAAAGCTTGGGGACCAATTTTGAATGAGGTACATAGTTTAGGGATGAAATTAGAATGTTTAAAAGTTTAAGAACTAATTTAGAGGGAAAGGTGTAGTTTGGGGATGGAATTAGAATGTTGAAAAGTTTAATAACTAATTTAAAAATAGAATTACAGTTTGGGGACATATGATGCAATTAACTTTTTTTCACAAGAAAAAATATGTTTTTTTTGGTTAATCTAGGGCGATTACAAGTAGTAGTGTATGTTTTAAAAACTCAACCATTTGATAATGAACACTCAAATATCATATAATTAATGATGCAATTTGGGATGCAATTTAGGATGCAATTTGTCCCTCAAGATAGTTTTTTAGTTACTTGCATTACATGTTCTTAAATTATGACTATCATTTTCATTAATCCTCAAAATTTTGAACATTTTATTTTCATCCTCAAACTATAATCTTCATTCTAATTTGGTCCCCAAACTTTTTCAACATTTCAATTTCATCCCAAAATGTACGTAAATACTAATCATATCCTTGTTAATAAAATCAATAGTTCAAGTTATATTATTATATATTTGAAAAAAAAATTATGTTAACTATGCTTCAAACTAAGTACAGATTTGGATAATTATGGGTAAAAATTAAAAGATTCAAAAGTTTGGGGACTAATTTAGAATGAGGGACATAGTTTGGAGATGAAATTAGAATGTTGAAAAGTTTGAGAACTAATTAGAATATTGAAAAGTCTAATAACCAATTTAAATGAGAAATATAATTTGGGGACATATGATATAATTAACTCTTTTTTCATAAGAAAAATTATGATTTTTTTTACTAATCTAGGTGATTGCAAGTGGTAGTATTTGTTTTAAAGATTCAATTATTTGACAATAATCACTCAAAAATGTTACAGTTACTGGTGCTTGAATCTAATACCTCTAAAAATAAAAATTATCTCTTTAATTATTAAAATTGCTTCGTCGTATGATTTAATTGAAAATAATAACAAATATTTGTTAAAAAGTTCAAAACTATCCACAATTGAAACCAACAAGAACGCATTATTTTTATTTTTTAAAATAATACGGGTCTCATTAAAAACCCCTTCTAATCCTAATAAGGGGAAAATAGTGCCCAAAATTCCATTAATCAAGAAGTAATTACATCGTTGCTAATGACACTAGCAATGATATCGGGACAAACCGAATCAAAGAATAATGCACTAACAGAACAACTAGTCCAACTAGCGAGAGCATGAGCAAGATGATTACATTCTCTATTGATATATGAAATATGGAATCTAGGATTAGCTTGAAAAGCAACACGAGCTTCTTGAATAAAAATACCCAATATCGAGATGTCATCTGAGTCCCTTGTAATTTTGTTCACAAGTATCTGAGACTCAGATTCAAACTGCACATCCAACCATCCTTTCTCATTAGCAAGGCGTAAACTAGCAAGCAAAGCAAAGAATTCATCAAAAGCAGGATCAACACAGCTTCCAGAGACTTGCGCCAAACCCCTTTGCACCAAACCATTATGATCACGAGCTACCACCCCAATAGAAGCCAGATGCCTATTGCTATCAAATGCACCATCAAAATTTATCTTAATCACATCTGGTGGAGGAGGTAACCATCTATTGTGTTGAATGAAAGGATTCTCATGCATCCGATCTAAAGCCATTGTGCACAAGTACTCATGATGAATTGCTTTAGCCGTCGACACCAGAATCCAAGACAGTTGAAATTTAGTATCATGAACAAAGGAATTACGATTGTTCCACACATTCCACAAGCAGATTAAGAACCCAACAAAATCATCAAGTCCTAAAATAGATAGAGCCTATTCTAACCATAAAACAGGAGTATCAGTATCACTGAATGAGATAGAAACATGTACGTCAGCATGTCGAAGAATATCAAGAGTGCAAGGGCAATTCCTTAAAGCATGTAACATAGTCTCCTCTTCATAAGAACACAATGGACATAGACCATCATACAAACCAGCCTTCTTAAGATGACTTCCAACAGGTAAAGCATTACGAGCTACACACCAAGCAAAAATACGGATTTTTAGAAGAATTTTCAGTTTAACTATAATCCTCTATAGCTTCGACTTCCGTTCATTATCATGTGAACAACGCTGAAGCCACCAATAGTAAATCCTAACAGAATAGATGCCTGAATCATGATTGCCCCAAACAATTACATCCCCAGAACATGGTCTTCTAACAACATTTAGAATTTGTAAAGCGTCCTCGGAAGTGAACAACCTGCAAATCAAAAGTTCGTTCCAAGAGTTAGTTCCTGAAAACATCAAATCACGAAAATAAATAGGAATATCAAAGGAAACAAAATAGCTCCCTTGAAGTGAAACAACTTTGGATCCACCCCATACATCATCAAATATACAACAAGTACTATCAAATCCAATTCACCAAAATAAACCCCCACGTAACTCCTGTAATGTCCGATGAAAGCCTTTCCAAGCAAAAGAACTCTGATTCAATAAAGCATTAAATGAGTCCCCATCAGGATAGTACTAAGCAAAGAAGACACGGGCAACCAAAATGTCTGGCTCTTTAATAAAACGCCACAGTTGTTTTCCTAATAAAGCCATATTGAAGTTATGCAAATCCCGAAAACCAAGACCCCCTCAAACTTTGGTTTACACATTGTTTTCCACTCAATCAAAGGCCAACCTCACTTAGCAATATCACCTGACCACCAATACCTTCTCATACCTCTAGTTAAATCTTGCACTAAAGACACAAGTAGTAAATAACATGACATCAGATACTGAGGAAGCGCTTGAGCCAAAGACTTAAGAAATACTTCTCGACCACCATAGGAAAGCAAATGTTTAGTCCACCCATCAATCTATTTATGAACACGATCTTTGAGATAACCAAAAGTATTGGTTTTATTCTTCCCAATATGTAAGGGCATACCAAGAAAAGAAAAAAAGCATTAGGATACCGAGAAGACATACACAAAGTATAATTAGGAAAACACCCAAATCAACCCGATACAAATGGACATAAAAGTGGCAGAATAGCAAGCGATAGAAGTTGAATGGGAAGATGTTTTTCGCCTCCTGTGCTTTTTCTAATTTTAAATCCAAATCTTTCACTATGTTAGTAATGTTTTTCAAATTTTTTAATAATAAATTAGATTTTATTAATAATAGAAAAAATCATAATTACAACACATAAAAAGAGATAAATTTATATATAATAATCATCAAAATACTCATACAAAAGTAAATAATACACCTAAAACTACACATTCCATTGAGAATAACAATCAATATCAAAACCCAATAACATTTATACAAACTATTTGTCTTCGTCAAATAAGACGCTTGACGAAGTGATAAAGGAATAGAGAGCGAACCAAATAATCTGGCAGGCTGCTTCGCTACTGTAATTCCCTAATTTTTTCCTAAAATTAAAGAGGGAACAAAATGTAATGACCAAACTTGTAATTTTACCTTTTTATAATTTTGGGGCTTTAAAAGCCAATCAGAAAGAAAAGTCGGCCCATTCCCCCTTGGTCTTTTGAAAAGGAAAATAAAAAACTTGGCTTCTTGTTCGCGTGTTGTGAGTACTATAAAATATATGCAAATAATGTGCAAGTATACACAATCGCTCAAGTAATAAAGTGATGAGCGAGTATCGTCTCCACAGGGATTGGAAGGATATTGAGTAAAGTTTATGCACTATTCTATCTAAATATAGTTAGTCTTGATATATACAAATGTCACGGCAATGGATATGTGTATGCTAGTGAATGTGGATTGATGGTGTGATGGTGTAGCAAATAGAAATGCAGTGGCAAGAACAGATATTCAATGTTGGAAATGATGAAATGCCAAGGCAAGGAAAAATGGTAAAAACATTAAATAAAAGATAAATAAAATAAAAAGAAGATAATCCTCTCGTGACAAGCTTTCAATGGAATGAATGGTAGGGATTGATCTAAGAATGCTAAACTTATCTCTCAGGCAGATTTAAGCTATCTGGTCTTTACTTACTCGACAGGGCTTTCCTAAAATGTTCTCACATGAACCTAACAGAATAGCATACCAAGGCATCCTCTCACTCAACAATGTTGGATAGCCTACCCTATTGATAAAGACACCCTTTTTAGTCGTTGAAATCCTATCCTAATCTCTTCCGAGATATAAGGGATTAGCTTATGAGGATCTTGCCTTGATTTTCTTCCGAATACTTACAAGTATTTTTAGCTTAGGATTCTTCCGAACACCTAACCTTCATCTAAGAAATGGACATTTCCATGCCTCTTACAAGCCTAGATGGTGAAGCATTCACAAGCAAAGCAAATAAAGAACCAAAATAAACTTAAATATACCATTAAAATAAAGTTAAAACATCCATTAAACCAACACCACCAAATAAGTTAGTTCATGGTGGGGTTCGAAATATCCATAGAAAAATCCACAAAATATTTGTTCCAACAACCCACAAATAAAATAAATAAAATAACAGCAAAGGGAAGTGAGAAAGAGCCTTCGACGTGCGCCACCGGAGGTCTCCTCGGTCACCACGAACCGCCTTAGCTCGCTAGCTCCTCTCGGCGCCTAGCTCGCCACTCCTTGAAGCTTTATCAATGGAGGAAAACCCAAGGAAGAAGAAAGGAAAAGGGAAAATAAAAATATGATTTTTCTGCTACAATATGCGTCTTCTTTCTTCCACACACTCTCTCTTATGAGGTGTCCTTAAATAATAAAAATATCTAGGGGTAATGATGAGGTTGTTGGGTGATTGTTGGGTGAAAAATACCCCTCATACCCCTAGAATCACACCTTGCATGTGAACCTTATCCTCCAGGTGTCAGTGGTCCCCTAGCAGGCTGTTACAGCCATCATTTCACGTGCAGAGCTAGCTGTCCACGTACAACTGTATATTTTTGTCGTTTTCTGCGCCAGAAATGCCAAGGCATTTTAATCTGCTTCAGCAACGTGTGATGCCGCAGCATTACTTCACAACTCGCCTATTTTGTTTGTTATTTCTGCACATCACTAAAAAACTGCACCTTCCTCCTCATATAGCACCTTAATAAAATAAAATAGCACAACCACCATAAATGCAATTACATGCAGCTACATACATCTAAAATGACTTATATGTACCCTTAAACAAATAATAACTTAAGTCAAAAAGGCCTTAAAAGTAGTCTTTTCACAGAGTTATCATACCCCCAAACTTGAGCTATTACTTGTCCTCAAGCAATGGATAACAATTAACACAATCAAAATGTCATGGCAATTTCAACAGTAGGACAACAAGACAAAAATTGAATTTCAACCCTCAGAAAAATCGGCTTCTACATGCTAGACATATCAAGAATTCAAGTTCTTTTCCCTAGGTCAAGATTCTGTGATTTATTGTATCTAATCTATACTTAACAAATTTAGGCAATTTCTAATTGAGTTCCCTAGTTTTTCCACGACATTAACTCATTCATTAAGCACATTTATACTCCCTTTTCACTTACTACACATTTTTTTTCTTATTTTTTTCACTTTTTTTTACACTGCTACGAAGGGAGTCAGCTCATCACACCTACCATCCCACACTCTAGGTGAAAGGGAGCATACTTTCCACCCCCAAGCTAGTCAGACAGAGTCATCCCGTGACTACTTTCATTCACTCGTATACGCGTGGCTGCCATTTATTAAAGAGAGTTCCAGGCAATGCCACGGCAAAGAGGAGTGTCCCTCTACAGCTATGCCGAAGCATTTATTCACGATTAAACAAAATTCAGAGATAAGGGAGTTTTTTTTAACTGATTTATCATTTAAGCATAATACCATATTTTAATGGCAAGGCTAACCAGAGTTCTTTCATAAAAAATTTGTAAGTTCATTAAGTATAGAGAACATACAAATCATGTAATAATAATTCACAAAGCATCAAGCCCTAGAGTCAGTTCTATCATTCTCAATAGTCATTTACATTCAATTTCTAGCCTAAAAAGTTCATCTTCATCACGTATCATCAAAACATTTCCATCTAACTGTCCTACCATTTACTGATGCCATGGCATAAAATTATGCTAATATTATCATGTACATGTTCTACAAAGAACACTACCTCCCCCAAACTTGAGAGAAGCATTGTCCTTAATGCTGAATAAAAACTAAGTTAAACTAGACTACATGCTATGTGATGCGATGCAATTCCATGCAAGGTACCTTGTCTTCCTAAGATGGTGGTGGAGTCGCGCTGGCAGTACTAGTAGTATTGCGTCTGGTGTACTTCCTCAGTGATGTAGGGCTTTTGTCAGGATCAGAACTGGGTTCAGCAGCTGGTGTGCTAGGGCCTTCAGTGTTCTTAGATGTTGAGGTCTCCATACGCCCAACAGATGACTTCAGACGTCATCTAGTCCATGCTGACTGGGTTAGCATCCTCTGGCTTGAGTGTATTGTCTTGCTGAGTGACATTTACAAATGTCGTGGCATCCTTAAATGATGGCAAGATCTCGTCCAGAATGACTAGAAGATTATAAGCCCAATGTGGGAGCATCTCCTTGTGAACAGGTGCCACGACTGAGTCTTGTTAGAGCCTCAATTACATCTAGCTTTGTCGTGGCATATTGGTTTGCAGCAGCCTGTGAAGTTCCCTCGTGAGATTTCATCATATTCATCCTTCAAAACACCCTTTGTCCTAAAAAAATAATATTAAAATTAAAACTAAAAAAATAAAACAAATAAAAATAAACAAACAAACACTCACGACAAAATAAAACTTCTAAAACATAAATTAAAAAGGGTTCAAGGGATGCAAACTCCAAAATATCATGAATTGTTATGGCATTTTTGTCGCGTTCGATTGGAGCACCAGTATAGACCAAAATGCTCCACATATATAACAACGCCACCTTTAGTGTAAGTCGATAGAACCCGATTTGTAGGTCCTTTGCAGTAGTCCTCTCTTTTTTCTCCCCGTTGCCGTGACATCTTTTAATTGCTTGGGCAGCAAATTCGTTCAAGAAGTAGGGGTCATCATCCTGCATCAATCTGTTCTTGCCCTGGCTATTCAAGTAGGGAAGCAAAACACCACTAACGAGAAAATTGACAATGTCAGCATACCACGACAATGCCGTGGAAAATAATAATTTCTCATCAGGGAATTGTTTCTCCATTTTATTCCTTAGTTCTTTCACAATTTCTAGCCTAGAAAAATGGGCAACTAATTGGGGTTGAGTAAATTCAATGAAATCCTCAGGTTCAGATTTCATACCTGGTCTAGCTATAAGTAAGCTAGACTGACCCGTCTCCTTTGAAATATCCTTATGCTCATCTTTGTCTTCTTCATCAAGCTTCAAGTAATCACCAGTGCATGCAAAATTTCCGTGGCATGATTTTGCAGATTCCCTTTGGTCATCAACTCCTGCTAGTGGGGGTTTTTCCTTTGCCGTGGCATTATTTTGCCTGCCATCATTGGGTTTACTCATTGAACCTTCAACTTTGTTCTCCAGTGAATGTAAGTCCTCTTGCAATTGAGACTCTTCATGCACAATCTCATAGCTAGGTTCTTCTAGTGTTTCCCCCCAAACTTAGCATCTTTGTAGATATAGGTGCCACTCCCTGAGGTGAATGTACTAAATTGCTCACTGCCTTTAGCCTTAGTGATTTCAGTATCACTAGGAAATCTGTCTGGTTGGTATTCTTGTAATGCCGTGGCAATTTGATCCACTTGCATTTCCAAAGCTCTCAAAGAAAAACTATGACTTTGTAACCATGCCCCTTGACTTTGTAATAATTCTTCTTGACTCTTAATAGATGCATCGTGATCTTGTAATAAAGCCTTTGTAGTTGCCATAAAGTCTTGCATAGTGGCCTCTAGAGAACTTGTATTAATTGAAGATGTTGTCCCTTGATTATGCCATGGCATATTCGTTTGAAAGGCTGGGGGCTCATCTATATACTGCTGCTGAGCGAGATGACTGACATTACAAGCTCCTTGATTTTCCCATGAGAAATTGGGATGCTGACTCCATCCATTGAAGCTTCCCACATAGTTGATGGACTTTTGATTGCTCGGGCATTCACATTCATGGTGATTGCCTTGGCATAACAGACATGCCAAGCTATCAACCTTCACTTCTTTCACCTCCTTAGAATTTTGCAAATTCTTCAACATATTGGTGATGGTAGAGAGTTGGGCCGACACAGAATATTCAGCTTCCAACTTGAATATCCCAGATGCCTTCCTTATAGTTTCAAACCTTGAAGAGGGAAATTGGTAATCATGGTTAGCAATTCGATCAAGAATGCCAAAAGCCTCTTCAGGTGATTTGTCAAGCAAAGTTTCATTTGTCCAGGCATCTAGCATCATCCTCGTGGGTGCATTGGCTCCATTGTAGAACATCACGACTTGAGTCCAGCCGTGGAATCCATGGTTGGTACATTTGCGAAGTAATTCTTTGTAGCGGTCCCAACACTCATGCATTGACTCATCATCAGCTTGGTGAAAAGATGCTATGGCATTCCTAAGATGGTTGTTCATATTCGGTGGATTATGCCATAGCAAAAAAAATTTTCACAATTCATCCCAAGACCTTATAGAGCCGGAAGGTAATCAATTGAGCCATGCCCTGGTATCATATTTCAAAGAATATGGAAATAACTTCAGTTTCAGCACATCTTCATGCACACCTTCTTGTCGAAAGGAGTCACAGACCTCTAAAAATTCTCGAACATGTTGCCTTGCTTCCTCATGAGGAGCACCACCAAACTTTCCAATCAAGTCCAACATGTCGAACATAACCGGTTTGAGCTCGAATTGGGTTGCCTGAATCTTGGGAGCTATAATAGCAGGTTTTAGGTCATCCAAGGTGGGAGCTAAGTAATCTTTAATAGTTTGTGGTCGAGCAACATTCCTAGTATTTGGAATTGTCATGGCATTTCGAACTGCAGGATCCTTCACTTGATTTTGAACAACATGAGCCTCAAGTTCTATATGAAATAATGGTTCTTTGGGTCTTTTACTTGTCATGCGATAACGTAACACCTAAAAAAGGTAAACACAAAAATAAGTAACTATGTACAAAGAAAATAAATAAAATAGTGCAACAACTAAACTCAACATCATCAATTGCCAATCCCCGGCAACGGCGCCAAAAACTTGTTCGCGTGTTGTGAGTACTATAAAATATACGCAAATAATGTGTAAGTATACACAATCGCTCAAGTAATAAAGTGATGAGCGAGTATCGTCTCCACAGGGATTGGAAGGATATTGAGTAAAGTTTATGCACTATTCTATCTAAGTATAGTTAGTCTTGATATATACAAATGTCACGGCAATGGACATGTGTATGCTGGTGAATGTGGATTGATGGTGTGATGGTGTAGCAAATAGAAATGCAGTGGCAAGAACAAATATTCAATGTTGGAAATGATGAAATGCCAAGGCAATGAAAAATGATAAAAACAATAAATAAAAGATAAATAAAATAAAAAGAAGATAATCCTCTAGTGACAAGCTTTCAATGGAATGAATGGTAGGGATTGATCTAAGAATGCTAAACTTATCTCTCAGGCAGATTTAAGTTATCTGGTCTTTACTTACTCGACAGGGCTTTCCTAAAATGTTCTCACATGAACCTAACAGAATACCATACCAAGGCATCTGCTCTCACTCAACGATGTTGGACAGCCTACCCTATTGATAAAGACACCCTTTTTAGTCGTTGAAATCCTATCATAGTCTCTTCCGAGATCTAAGGGATTAGGTCATAATATTCCTAGGCCGGTTCAAAGCCCCTTGAAAATACTATAACCCATTGCTTATGAGGATCTTGCCTTGCGTTTCTTCCGAATACTTACAAGTATTTTTAGCTTAGGATTCTTCCGAACACCTAACCTTCATCTAAGAAATGGACATTTCCATGCCTCTTACAAGCCTAGATGGTGAAGCATTCACAAGAAAAGAAAATAAAGAACCAAAATAAACTTAAATATACCATTAAAATAAAGTTAAAACATCCATTAAACCAACACCACCAAATAAGTTAGTTCATGGTGGGGTTCGAAATATCCATAGAAAAATCCACAAAATATTCGTTCCAACAACCCACAAATAAAATAAATAAAATAACAGCAAAGGGAAGTGAGAAAGAGACTTCGACACGTGCCACCGGAGGTCTCCTCGGCCACCACGAACCACCTTAGCTCGCTAGCTCCTCTCGGCGCCTAGCTCGCCACTCCTTGAAGCTTTATCAATAGAGGAAAACCAAAGGAAGAAGAAAGAAAAAGGGAAAATAAAAATATGATTTTTCTGCTACAATATGCGTCTCATTTCTTCTACACACTCTCTCTTGTGAGGTGTCCTTAAATAATAAAAATATCTAGGGGTAATGATGAGGTTGTTGGGTGATTGTTGGGTGAAAAATACCCCTCATACCCCTAGAGTCACACCTTGCATGTGAACCTTATCCTCCAGGTGTCAGTGGTCCCCTAGCAGGCTGTTACAGCCATCATTTCACGTGCAGAGCCAGCTGTCCACGTATAGCTATATATTTTTGTCGTTTTCTACGCCAGAAATGCCAAGGCATTTCAATCTGCTTCAGCAACGTGTGATGCCGCGACATTACTTCACAACTCGCCTATTTTGTTTGTTATTTCCTGCACATCACTAAAAAAACTGCACCTTCCTCCTCATATAGCACCTTAATAAAACAAGATAGCACAACCACCACAAATGCAATTACATGCAGCTACATACATCTAAAATGACTTATATGTACCCTTAAACAAACAATAACTTAAGTCAAAAAGGCCTTAAAAGTAGTCTTTTTACAGAGTTATCACTTCTCTCCTCTATGTTGGTTTTCTTTCTTCCATACTTATTTTCTTTTTTTTCTTAGTGTAGACACCCTTATTAAAATAATAATAATAATAGTTATTATTATTACTATTATTTATAATAATATTTTTTATTTTATTTTACAGATTACAAACAAGCCCAAACAGATCCAGGCCCAAATACAAACAGCTGACCCGACCCAGAATCTGACCCGTTATAGTATTTCACACTAATGCTCTAGCCAACCCTGATCTCCACCATTAGATTTGGACCCATCCAACTATCCAGATCGCTTAAAGATTAGGGTTTTAACCCTAAATGTTATCCAACTATCGCTAGCAGAAGTTGAATCGTCCATCATCTGCGCGTGTGGTACACGCGCCTGATCTTTCGTCTCCAAACCGATACGTGCATCCCATCGGGAGCCTGCTTAGTCACGTGAGCCACTGTCATCGTCATCAACATACCCAACACAGTGAAAAAATACATCCAAATCAGTCAAACAGTCCTAAATCTAAAGCCCATTAAAAAAGTCAATAAA